TTCAAATCCCGGTGAGTGCAGATGTTTGTGTGATGAATACGAGCATTTGTACTCCAGTCATGGATGTTAAATATGTATTTCTATATAAATATATTTATATAATGTATAGTATATATTATTCTATCCGTTACCCTGGTATTCCATAACACAAGCCTTACAGAGCTTACTTTGGTGCTAGGCACACCAATTAGTGTGAGTGTTGGAAATAATTATTTATTTAATGTAGAACAACACGAAGAAAACGAAAGTCAACTGAGTCTGGATGGGAAAACCGGGAGATTATCCCAGATGGGAGAATTGAAAGATTTTTCAATATTGTATTTAAATTTAGCGCAAAAAAAGTCAATTCGTTTATTTGCTCATTGGTCACATGCGAGAATGTTTTGTTTTGATTGGCGCCTCGCATGAACGAATTGACGTTTTACGTTTTGTTAGCATTAAATGTTAATATGATTTTGAAAGATGGTTCAATTCTCCCACCTGGGCAAAGCTTCCGGTTTCTTATTCCGGTACTCAGCTCAGTTGAGTTTCTTTTTTGTCTCTATACAAAGTCAAGTGTAAGTATTTCATGGGAGCCTGGTAAGTTTTATAGCAAATTTAATTGTCGTATGCACACACAATGCTAATGAGCAACCGCAGAATGAGGAAACTGAGAAACAACAAACAACAAATGACTTTACGGCACTGTCGTTACGTGTAGTACTCGTTGTAACCCTAACATTCGAAACTATTTAATTTACATTTTTTTTATTATGTTTACAAAAAATAGGCAGACGTTTCATTCAATATATTTTTTTACATAATAAAAGTAAACGAAAATTACTAACATATGCCTAAGCGCATTATATTTTCCATGTTTACGTAATTCCGCAGTTTGCTTCCTTGTGCCGCATGCATTTCTAAATCAATAAAGTTGATTTGGCGTTGCCAACGCAATCTTACAAGCACGCGACTCTATATGGGTTACTATAATATGTACCTAGTAAACAAACAGTTTAAGAAAAATTTTGATTGGGTGGAAAATCATTCACGCGTGGAGCAGAGTATGTGACTGACAGAAACACGAAATCTACAAAAGCAAGCGCTGATTACTGGGGTCTTGACATGATTCTACTCGGTGACAAATCATTCACAACAAGCACCATGATCTATTAGTCATTAGGTAGGTACCATTCATCGCATCTATATTTGACTCCTAATTTACGAAATATGGAAGTAAAGAACCGGCCTATCATCATTTTGTCGGTTCCTTTATATACATTACACAACCAATCAATGTTCACATCATTATCAGCATGACTGCCGATTACAATTCAAAATGTATTTTATCACTAGCAATTTAAGGTTGAAAACCGGTCAAAGAATAGTTTACAGTGTAATCAGAAACAATAAATTTCATTAATCTTAATGAAAGGGTCTTCAGTCGGTCAATTCACTTGTTATCCCATAATTAGGTACAATTTATTATCCCATAAAGTTGTACCATACGTAATTTCCAGCAAGCGTGTGAAAAAGCATATTTATTATTGGAATTTATGTTGCGAGTGATCATGATTGAATGAATGGCTTTTAGCGTAAAGTTAAAATCGAATTTTCCTTTACTATCGCTAGCTCTTCGCAACACAACATTTGTACGAGTATAGTGCCATTCAAACTTTAACGCGGTTGTTATGTTATTCCGAGCGCAATTACATCGCCATACATTTCGTTTACTACGGTGCGACTTGCACTAACTTCACGATGGACAAATAAAACACTTCTTAATCGTGTTTTTTTAATGATTGGTGTGCGTGAAAACATGCGGGCATTATGTTTGAATCGCACAAAACTCATTATGGTTGTGTTCCGAAGACTGCAGCAAACTGCAGCTACACATGCAGCGCAGTCGACCCCAGCTGCACTACTAATGGGTTTCTATAATAAAAAATTCCGAAAGGCGACGGCGCGGGCGGTACCACAATTATTGCAACTGCGGTTAACTGCACTCAGCGAATAGTTCCATCACAGTCTCTGCCTTCCTTGTGCTAGTGCTCAGAGTCGTATATCACGGAATTACTAAGCCTAATTCCGTGATATAGGACTCTGAGCACTGCACAATTCGCGTCGCAGTAACAAAAAAACACGTATTTATAGAGCCGAAGATTGTTTTTATACGACTATTGTAACTAGACTTGCGCGAAGTTACTTCGGGCTAGAAACTTGGTGAAAACTGTAATTCTGTTTAACAGAGAATTATTTTCAAGTTTCTAAGCAAGATATAAATAAAAATAAGGTTTAATAATTTTGCAAACAAATAATGCTGAAGTTAACATCAGGTGCTTATGCAATATATGTGATCAAAAGTGGAGAAACATAAACTCAAATTATGCCCATTCTTCTTGCCTTAAAAATCCCTATGGGTATTGAGGGAAGAAATTTATTCCCTAGCGATTCGTAGAGTTTTAAGGAGGATGATGATGAAAAGTTAATATAGGAATGTCGTCTACCTACACACGAATGGATCACATCTCATTCGATGGTGAAGATCCCCAAATTGAGCACTGTATAGCTTGTGTTATTTGATACAAGGGTACTATACTGATGTATATATAAGAAATATTTGTTTCTTAGGTTTTCACGCACATCACTCATTAAATAAAACTAGTTTTTACGGGTTAATGCACGAAACTTTTTCGAATCCAGAGTTTGTATAAAGAATGTGAATATTTGTACCTACGTCATGAATGTTTCTCCAATTTCCAGATAAATATTCTTATATATAAAACTAGTTTTTACGGGTTAATGCACGAAACTTTATTTATTTATTGACGTTTCGTAGCCTTTACAGGCTTCGTCGCCAGAATAAAACTTTTTGTTAAAAGTAAAGGCTTCGTCGTCAGAATAAAACTTTTTGTTAAAAGTTTTATTCTGACGACGAAGCCTGTAAAGGCTACGAAACGTCAATAAATAAATAAAGTTTCGTGCATTAACCCGTAAAAACTAGTTTTATATATAAGAATATTTATCTGGAAATTGGAGAAACATTCATGACGTAGGTACAAATATTCACATTCTTTATACAAACTCTGGATTCGAAACCGGGACCTCTGAGTAAGCGATATTGTATATTATTTAAGTACCTACTTAGTTATTTCCGGTTTTTAAGTTTTTAGGCATTAAGTAATTTTTGAATATTTATATGTAAATATAAATAAATTTAAATTAAATAATAATATGTTTTATTGATCAGTAAATCAGTACGATAAGATTTCGTAACAAATACAAAAATTATGAGAATACTAAACTAGACTAAAAATACATTATCTGATAAATGAAAAGATCAATAAGTAGCACTTCATTTTAAAAAAAAAAATATTATTTTATTTAAGCACTTATAGTATAATATATAAATTAATATGTAATGAATGAATGAATGTGTATGTGTGTGTTTGTGTGTGCGCATGTGTTAAAGTGCGGATGTGTTTAGTTATTGTATTGATTAAATCAAGTTCGTATATTTATAAAATGTCAGATTTCTTGTTAGGAAAGAAAACGGCCATTACTTATGAAGTCTTTTACTTTGACTGACTTATGGCTAAGATAACTTGACTCATTGGACTGAATGATAAATAACATCCGTATATTAAGTATGATATATAGTTATTTATAAATTTTCCAGTTCTCTGTTTTTATACAAAACTATTTAATTATGATGTCGAAATATCGGAACTACGTATATATATTATATAACAAAAAAAATGACAAATTAGTATTAATGTAACTGTCAATGGATAATCTGTACAACGACAACGGACGCATCTCGAAGGTGTTAACATTTTGATAATGGCTTATAGTTAAAACGAATTGATTGGTTGAAATATTGGTATGGAGTTTCGGTATATTAAAACGTAACACCGAAACTCTTTAGAGATCCGTAAGAAATTGATAAAATTTCATTTTTCATTATTTTAGGTATTGTCCCTTAAAATGAAAAGCGGGCTCTATAGCGTCCAAAGCTACTTATAAGTGCTTAACAATGTACAAGTTTTGACACTAAGTAAAAAAGTATTTCTTTCATCTTTCTTACATATTTTAGGGCTTCGACGGACTTTCCAAATCGAGTGGAATATCTGCTATTACTTCTTTTGTAACTTCTTATTTTAAGCACATTTTTTTAAATTAAAAAAGACAATATGACATTGTCTTTACGGAAAACAAGATATGTTAATCCGGATGATCTCGTAAAATCTTAACACTTACCGCCTTATTCCACGCGGACTAAATTTAGTCTTGGTTTAAACCTCGTTTAAACCTAATGTTGCCTCTGTCTTTTTCATCATCACCACCTCTTATTTTTAGAAAACAGAAGTGACAGCATCAATTTATTTTGGTCCAGGTTTAACTTTAGTCTACGTTTTTAATAATAAGGCGGTTAAAGTTTTAATGAGTAAACTGAACCCGAGCGAAGTCGAGATAACATTAAAGAGTATGATTAAATTTATTGACTACCTATTTAATATTTATATTTCCATTAATCGATTTTAATTTATAATTAGAAGCAAATAAGTAATTTATCAAGTATAAATTAAGGTACATTGTTTACATTACAATGTTGTAAACTTAGGATGTAACGCATGACCAAGTAATATTTGAAACTTTAATTAATGAATTAAGTATAATGTTTGGCGCAATAATAATAACTTACAAAGAAATGTCGTAGATATTGAAAGAATTTTATCATAATAAACAAAGATTTAACAAAGATAACTGAGAATTTTAATTCACAAAGCGAGTTTTTACTTTTCACAATGAATTAGAATAAATTTTTACATACCCATCTTTACATAGTCATGGACTAGAGTATAAAAAGAATTTGCACCCGTTATCACTACCCTTACTCAGACCTTTCACACTTCGCAACGGATTTTATTTCAGATTTCAGCAATAGACAGAATATGTCCGAGAATAGGAAAAATTACAGTGTAGCGGGTTACTAGGGTTAGATATATAGCTAAACATACCACTTCGTTTGATTGTTCTAGGGTGACGTTGTAAGCTGCCACTGCAGATTCGCAGATCATCAACAGAAGCCCGAGAGCCCTCCACATTGTGTCTACATCATACACTACCACCAAACGACCGCACTTCCCATATAACACTTATCCTTGCCCGCAAAATTTCTACACGAAACTCGCTAACAGGATTACCAACAAAATAAACCCAACATTGTTAGGTATTTAATTTTATAAAAAAAAGTATTTATAAAAGTTTTTATTAATATCACTTTTTTTAGGAGGCGACACAACGCGCGCGGCGTTTGGCGGGAAAATGTTCGCGCATGCGCGCACCTCCGCACCGCGTGCGCCATATTGCTCAATAGAATTAAACGCGCGCCCCGACCTTTGAGGATTTGATTACCTGTTCATTCGAAAGTTTGAATTCGTCCTGAGATTTAGTCCTATAACTCACTAATTAATCTAATTTGACTAAGTAACTTTTTGACAGTTTTATCGACCACCTAAGCTCTTATACACAATACACAAATTGTAATGGTTACTGTTATTTAACAGTGAAATAAAATAAATAGACCACACCAGGGTGGCTGCCATTCAAAATGGTAAAAAAAAAATAGGTTATGTGAAAAAGGTGTAAATACAAAAGTTGTACATCCTTTACTTACCCTACCTATATAATATTGACTGTTATAATATTGACATTTAAATTTTTACGATAGGAGTTAGTTTTCCCGATAAGTAATCGCGATAAACCGTTTCCCCACTTATCTTATAATGCCACTTCTCAACCTTCCCGACCTCAAATCGCCGGTTAATTATTTTTCCTATTTTATTAATGTTTTCCCATCCTTTTAAAATGGGTTTCAACCTGTTTTGAATTTTTTGTTTTCGAAAATTGTCGGCCCTGGACTAATAGTAAAAAACCTAAATAAATAGTCTTAAATTCCTACCGAATACCTAATCAATGCGAGTATCTTCCGATATTGTCGTTATTAAAATATGAACAAATAAAATAAATGATTTTATAAATCCATCACATTAATTGAAGATTAGCTCTGAGACTTTTTTTCATTGATTTCAGGACACAAATTTAACATGAAAACAGATCTGTTTTTTTTATTTTGGGTAGGTATTATAAAAAAACTCTCTTACACACATAGGTAAACGAAAAGCAGCTTTAACTTCTTCTTGCAATCCAGCGAGATCTGGATTTCAATCAGCGGTTTTTCCTTTCAGCTGTGTCACGGGGTCTTTAAAAGGCGGGTAAGCCTTTTCCATCAGAGCCGCCAACGCATGACTGGTACTCTTGGTGCTGCAAGGGTGGCAAAAACCACTTTACATCAGTTGGACTGTTAGATCGTTTGCCTGCATTAACATTTTAAAAAAAACAAGCGGGCGGATGCCTAATTTTCTATCCACCTGTTTTTCTCTTTTACCTAGACTAAGGTATTGTAGGCAAATCTTTGATTTACATTACAGAAAGTTGCATAATGCTTTTTAAAAATAACATGTATTTTAAATGTCATTGAGATTTGTGTTATTGTCCCTCTACAACGATTATGTTGGTCAAAGCAAGGTTTTGGGCTCAACAAAGTGAGGGTGGCTGAAGCAGCACATTTTTTGCCGCATTCACTACTAAACTCCACCTACACTTAACATCAGGCGAGGTGGGGTAATTCGGTGCGCCTCGAATAAAAAAAAGCTCCACTAAGTATTAAGTTAGTTATTTTTAAGTTAAATCCGCCGCGTCGTGATGATAGTTGACGTATTTATTTCCAAAGTCATGATAAACCATTTCTAAAAAGCTGTAATATTGACTTTGAAAAATGCGAGTCGTGGTGCTCCTTAGTACCACGACGGGAACACTAGAATGCGGTCAAGTGCAGACATTGTCGAAATTTCTGAGCCCATCATACGTGACTGGTCATACCCACACAACGCTGACACTTCAGTTATGACAGCACTGTGTATTCATCTTACTTATTATATCACTGGCTTAGCCAAAGATCATAACACAGTTCACGGGTCATAAAATTTGTTATCTCAATACATAAAACTTATGATTCCTTCACGTTCCCTTTTGAGCCGAAAGAAAAAATCTAGTTGTTGTTATATAATATGCGTGATTGGTTAAATGCTCGCCGTACAGTATTTTGTTTTTGCAACCTTTCGACAGTCAATAGAAGAGAGGTCAACTGACAATTAGAGAGCCACTTTTTATATGAAAGTTCCACTGTTTGTTTGAACATTTTTAAGTTTATCGCTGAACAAACAAACGGATCTGTCTATCAAACAGGCTTCGTATGTGAACAAAATGCAGTACCCACAGCTACCAATCCAATATTTATCTTTATTTTGTTTTCGCCTACTAACTTAATATAATTATTGTTAATCATCATTAATATTTTTTATAGAATAATAAATTATAAACCGATATATATTTAGCTAATTTGTTACTGATACAAATGTCAGTAACAGCTTTATCTCTTAATTCAAAGTTCTAAATAGTCTGAAAATATAGAGAGTCTTTATTATTATGAAGAACCGGCAAGAAACTCGACAAAGGTTAATTCTTATCACGAATAGAAAAATAGAGATATAAATAAATCAATAATAAAAAAAACTGTTAAACTTAAATCCATGACTAGTAAAAAAATATAGTATTATCTCTAATATATGGTGCAAGCGAAGCTTTATGCTAATCGACTGCATCGATATAGTTCAGAATATTTAACTTTTACATTGTCCTTGGAATGCCTTATGGTACTTAATTATTTATAACTGGGAAGTTTTTGTTTTCCTTCGGTCAATCAACCAAAAAATTACAAAGACACATCGCGTCAATGTATGGTAGAGGGGTTTCGTGAAGTCAGTTTTTAGTAAAAATTTTATATAAACGTGACGTCACGCGACAATTCAAATCGATATATCTCTATAATGATTTGATTATGTGAAAAAATAAAAATACATTTCCAATTCTTTATGATACCCTACCTGAAAAACGAAGAAACAAAGTTAGTCATCATTCCTATTGCTTTGAGTCGCTCATGCAGTCGCATGCCACATCGTGGGAAGAAACATGGCATAATAGGAATATTTTTGATAATTTTTATTATTTTGAAGCATGTAACTGCTGGATGTTTAAATCTAAAGAAAACATAACTAGAAAAAATTCCACGCGGATCAGGCAGCAGACGGGACTCGAACCCGCACCCTTCGCAATCCGGGCGAATGCACTGACCAATTATGCTACCGCGGCCTTCATAGACCGCGTAGAAATTCTTCTAGCCATTTTTAAGCTGCAAGGCAGCGCCATCTCTTCGCATTATAGGTAACCCACAATGTCAAGTGAATACTTTTACAAGTAAACAACATTTGAAAGAAGAAATAGCAATCATAGTGATAATTTTTATTATTTTGAAGCATGTAACTGCTGGATGTTTAAATCTAAAGAAAACATAACTAGAAAAAAATTTAGTTATGTTTTATCCGCGTGGAATTTTTTCTAGGAATATTTTTATTAAAAAAACTGCGTAAAAATGCACCATACCATAAGAAAAATGCACTCTTGTATGAGGCAACCACAGACAATAGACGCTTGCGATATCAAAGTAACACGTGTTCCTGACTCTATCCCCTACCTCGTGGACAACAACAAAGAGATATCTTATACTTGCTAAATCTAGCAGCATTGTGAGCTGTTTTGTTAACTTCTCACAATGCAAATATTCAAGTATTCCATGCACATAAATATTATTATGTATGTCCATATATAATTTGAAACTCGTAAACTAAATCGGATGAAAATGGAATTCAACAAAAGTATCGTGGCAAACAGAGATAATTCTAAGTTAGTAATGGAATCTGAATAAGTATTTCTTCATTGTGAAACGATCAAAATTTTATTTTTATAATGAACATTGTTAAAAACAAATTTAGTGATGTATGCACCATCTCGTTCTTTAATTAGGACATGGATTTTAGATTAGTATAATATAATAATTAATAAATAAATATGGTACATTTAACTATACAGAAAAGGCAAAAAGAAAAAGGCTAAATTATAACAATTAAAAGACCAATGAAAAAGACATCAACGCGCTCTTTACTACTATGTATTATAAAAACTTCTCCAAAACGAGAAGTACCTGCAACTAATGTGAGTATTTACAGGTAATTGTTTTAAATACCTAGCTATCATTTGATTTAGTTATCAGGTACAAAATGCATATAAAATAGCAAGTACCTAATATTTTTGATCATGTTACTGTACTTACTTAGTAGTGAGCTATTATCTCTTGCAATTCTATAACTATTTCGTTTCGAATTTTAGGACATTTTTATGTACTTATATAGAGAAAGTGTAACCCTGCTATGTTTTAAAATTTAGCGCTGCTTTATATTCCAATAGACAAGTATAAAAACAACATGATATAAACACAATACCCTATTCCAGTATTTAAAAGCTTAATACAGCAAGACAAGAGAACATATAGTTAGTTAACAAAGCAATTTTTAAAGTTGGTTGGTAGAACCATCTGTTCTTTTTATAGGGTTGACACTTGGCAGTATATAGCCAAGATGCACTATTTTACTGCACTGTTGTTCTATTGCAGATCGATTTAAGAACCCTTTTCTCACGCTCACGGGGGTTAGATGTTTTTTTTTTGATTATTAATAAGATAGAAAATTAAAGTTCTAATACATTATGTTACAACAAAAACATATTTCTGATGTCGTAGTAATTAATTAGATCTAATTTATAGAACATTATTGAGCGATTGAGGCGTTTGAAGTTGTGCATATTATCGTTTTTTCTGTAAACTAGCTGCGGTAGAACGATCAGTAAAACAAAAGGAAAATAGTATTTGCAAATATTCTACATTAACTTTCAATAGGAAGAATAAGTTTACTGTTAACTTCTATTGGAAATATTCAAAATTATTTTGAAGGGGGTAAATGAGGCGCTCAAAAATTCCGATTTTTTGCAAAAAATGTGAAAGGGCTCTTAATGTAGAAGAAAAATCTCAAGTTCCTCCGTGCTTCGGAAGGCACGTTAAGCGTTGGTCCAGGCTGCATCTGCAGTTGTTAGCACCCGCCAATACGCACTGGGCCCGCGTGGTAGGTCATGACCCAATCTCCCTATTCCATCCATAGGGAAGGCCTGTGTCTCAGCAGTGGGGACATTAATAGGCTGATGATGATGGTTTATGTGTGATTTAGCTAAAGCGATTTATAACAACACATACATCAAGCAACATATGTAGTAGGTACTTAAAAATACTATTGCAATAATGACATAGGAGGCTTCATCTAATATCATTGTAAGGAGGTAATTCTTAGT